ACGGCGCGCGCGCGTGCGCTAGGATTCTCGCGACAGCACGCGCTCAAGGGCGTTCGAGCAAGTTCCGACTTAGCATTCTATGAACATGTGGAAAACACCAATGGTTTTCTTAATAATTCGCAGAGGCGCGCGCTCAAGTTTTTTTAGTTCTTGTATTTTTGGATCAGTCGATTGGAAATCTTCACGAAACCAAAGACAACAAAATAATCTACGCGGTGCAACTTATGTGGCACGCCCCAAAGGGTTTTCAGGCCTGTTATGGTGTGGGCAGGCTGCAGCGTCTGGCTGCTGCTTTTGTATTTGACTGAGTATAGTGCTGTCGCTTGTGTGGGGGTAGCGTAGTGCTTGCTGTCAAAAAAGTTGTCAGCATAATTGTTTTGTATCGCATTGGAGCCCCATCGTGCCCTTGCCCGAGGTAAGCTCCATAGGGCTCCCATGTCGTGTGCGAGGCGGGCTGACTTGATACGTATATACGAACATATCATATAAATCCACCCGCGGCCATTCTGAATACAAGCGAGTCGTGAAAACATGAAAGACAAAGGCTGTAATATGGCAATCAGAAATTTGACGGTAGTCGTAGTTGGCGTGTGCTAGGGCGTCCGCTTGGCCTCGGTCTCAGTGTGGAATTCGTTTTTTGCTACGTAGTCTGCTGGATGCTGGGTGCAGTCCTGGGTGGGACTTCAGTGTTGGCTCGTGGTCTGGTGGTCAGTCGACTCGTTGGGTACTTGTGTTTCGAACTGTGGTATGTGCTGGTCGAAATATGCATCCACGGGGATGTGCCCATATGCAGTCGAAATGTGCCGCGTAGTGTGTGGGTGCTAGTGACATGCTCGCCGTGAAGAGTCTACAAAGGTCTGCTGGTAGGTTCTATGTCCCCTGAATTGATAGTACGGCTGCAGGGTTGTGTCAGAGTCAACGGCACCTGCTTCTGTTGTGCCTTCAGGAGATCTCTGTGGTCAATGTAGGAAGATGTTTTGCCAGTGCTCTTGTCGGTGCTTTTTGTGTGGCAGAGGTGCACTGGTCACAGTCGAGAGTTTGCGAGTGTAATCTTACTTGTCGAAAAGGAGGTATCTGCTAAATGTTGGGGGCGCTTGAGTGCCATCTTGGCTGTATCGAGGATAGTTTGCAGGTGTTTGCTCGTAGTTGGAAGCGTGAAAGAGTAAGACCATATGTTGTACACGTCCGTTGGACAATTCTGTGCGCAAAAGCTGCTCCGTCGATTGCTTGCTCAGTAGTTGTTCTCTGTGTTGTTGAATTTGTCCATGTGTCGGTGGGTGGTCTAGCAATGATGGCTGCTACCTGTCCTTCAATGATGCACTGGACCAAGCTGTCAGTGATCTCTCGCGCTGCTAGGTTGAGTGGTGACTAGCTGTCGTATCTAATGCTGATGCACGTCTATTTCTTTGTGATGTAGTTGCATTCCAGCTGGTGATGGAGGTCTTTGCGGCGCCTAGCATTTTGGAAGATTAAGATAATGTAAGTCGGGCTTCTTTTGTACTGTGTGAGAGGCTGTCGGACTGTGTGCGGTGCGTTGGTGGTCGTAGTTGGTGGTCTGAGTATCGTGAATGTCTCTTTGGCGTGTCGTTTGTTGTCGGCCAGTTTGATCGCTGGAGTCGTCGCTGGGTCTGCACGTAGTCCTTTGCCTTTGTTGGTTCGCGTGCTTTGTCAGTCTTTCAGCTGTAGTGCAACACCTCCTCCTCCTCCTCCTCCTCCTCCTTAGGCCAGGATCCGCTGGCCGAGGCTGGAGAGCTCGGCTGGCGGGATGGGGGCGGTGGGATGCCCTGCCAGCTGGGCCCTCATGGACTCCTCGGCAGGGCTGTTCAGGTCTTCACCGAGGGCCCCCCCACCCCAGACTTCTCCTTCCCCCCTCTTGGACCCCTCCCTCTGTGGGCGAGTAGCGCCGGCACGCAGTTGGCGTGTCTTTTGTCTTCGCTGGTGCGCATCTGGCGCGTCTGCAACTGCATCCCGTGCTCTCTTCTGCGCATTCGGGCGTGCTGGCCCGCGCGCCCCAGGTGCACAACTCAAAGCGCAGCTCTGCGTGCCGCTGCGCCGTGTGGGCACCTGGCCTCTGCCTGTCTGTCTGTCCGTCCCTCCGTGGGCGCCTCGCCTCCCAGCTGTCTGTCTGTCCTCTGTCTGTCTGTCCCTGTCTGTCCTCTGACTGTCTGTCTGTCCTCTGTCTGTCTGTCCCTCCCCGGGCCCCTCGCCCGCCCACCTCCGGGGCCGGTGGCCCCCCCGGGGGCGCGGCGTGGAGGCGGCCCGGGGCAGGCGTGCCGCGGGCCCGGCGCAGGTCGCCCCCGCCCGCGCGAGGCCCGCCTCCCCTCCCCGCGCCCGCCCCGTCGGGCTCGTCGGTCTCGGGTCAAGTCGGGCGTGTCCCCCTACAGGGGGTCTTTCGAGGAAAGATTCAAGATACCCCCAAAATACCCCAAAAAGGTCAAATGATACCTCCCAAAATAGTCACCAGACTACTTTTTTGATTATTTTTGGGGTATTTTTTATT